AGTTCAAGGCAACCATTTCGAGCATTTTTTGAACTGAACTCTGCTTATTTCCTCAAATTATGACGTTAAACGTCGATGTATTCAGGTAATTAATAAATGTCCGCAATTTTGTAGCTGGTGCAGATATTGACTTTATATTCCAGGGTTGTAGAGTATTTGTCAGGAGCTTCAAAATGATGTATCACAAGACCCCCCTATCCATTTAAATTTATTTCACAATATGGCGCCCAGTCGCCATCTTGAAATTTTCATCTGTCAATTTTACTCCAAAATATACTAATCATTAGTTTTGTTATCCTAAATTTCAATTTTCTAAGTTGATCCGTTCAAAAAATTAAAGGGGAGGGGGCCATTAAAGAAATGCACTGTACAAGTTTGTTTGCTGGGGAAATGGCGATTGGACGTCGTTAAGTTTTTCTATTTCATTATCCGCAGTTTTATGGGTTGTCATACGCGTTTAGACAAGGCGATTCCCGGCTGTAATTGTATCGCTTCGTTTTGGCATCGGCCCAAAAAGGACCGTCGACTTTAATTATTTACGCATTAGAATATTCGCTGAGGACAGACAGGGATCGATCGGGAGTTCCGTTCCGGCCGGTTTGCGCAATTAATTGAAGTCTTTAAATCGCCAACCGGACATCTGGAAACGGGTCATCGTTCGGTAAATAATTGTATTCGACTGGAAAAGTTCGATCTGTCTGATGGAGAGGCTTCGTTTGTGCTTGTTATTAATGTGGATTCGATTGTCGTTCGAGGAAAATCCAACGAAAAATCCGGAGCTTTAATTATACCTAACAATTCTCTAATATACACACACAAAGCGAACATAATTTCGCACAATAGAAAAAAACTTTCGCGGCAATATTTCCTTTGTAATGGGATAAAGTTGGGAACTTTTTACGGTTTCATTCCAACGGACCAGTGCTTTTGTTCGCGAATAAATCTGGCCGTATATAAAGTACAGAAAAAAGTTATTTAATCATCTAGCAATCCCACATTATAGGTATTCATTATTACATTTCGAATAATGTACATTACGCCGTTACGTGCGATTATTACCAATTATCCCCGAGCTTTGTTACCGGACGGGAATCGAAAAGTTTCCGCGAATACTCGCGGGCATTCTTTCCCAGGAAACTCCAATGTCGCTCTTCCTGCATACCAAACGAGAAACTTTTTTTCCTCGACAAAAATTAAGTTTGCGGCCGGGAAAGTTTAACGGGCGAGATCAGGTGTTGCATTTTCGCGGGCGTATTATTGCTCGCAACAAAATAATTCCTCTATTATCTAATCCAATCGAGCGGACGAGGAAGAAACACCCGCCGGAGATTTCCCGCATGAAGGGCGAATAAAAAACCCATCATCTTTCGGGAGCTTTTGAAAATAGAATTAGGGACCGTCGAGGAGCTCCTCTCAATTTCTCCAATATCCCTGATATTCTTTTGATTGATACTATAACGATTGGAAAACTCGAGCGCCTCCGGAGTCGAATTCAAATGCACGTTCACCAGCAACGCGGAAAGGGAGATGTTTAATATCTGGCGACTGGTTCGATAACAGAAGAATAAGTGTACCGAATTATCGAACTCAAATTTCCACTTTGAATTTTACATTTTTTTTATCGGCGCTTTTTAGTGGTACACCTGAGTGTATAGGGGCACTTTGAAGGGTATTTTAAGGGTATACAGTTCCTCGTGAGTCACCCTGTATATAATGGAGTTAAAAAGTTCTTGCCGAGCGAAGTTGATGGAAATCTTAAGGCATCAGAAGTTTCATCTTGCAGGAGTTTGTACGCGAATGAGTTGTTAGGGTGGAAATTTAGGTGCTGTTTATTAATTCCAGTTGAAAACTGTTTATGTGTAAGGATTATAGGTATCGGTGATGTAATCCTTAGGCAATTTGATAAGTATTATATTGTGTTAATAAATATACTGCTCCACAAAAGTTAAGGAAGTTTACAAATATTGAGATTAATTTAAAAGAGTTGCAGGTTTTATGATCGCCAAATTTAGTATGAGTTGTAGAGGTAGGGACGAAAAATCCACTCAGATATGAGAGAAAACATTTAATTTAGCATATTTGAAAATTTGGTGATCAAAAAGTCTGTAATTTTTAAAATAATCGCAAAATTTGCGAACTTCCTTAACTTTTGTGGAGCAGTTTATAATCTTTTACTAATTAAAGATGGTAAAAAATTGCAGAGAAAATGATAAAACTAAATCTGTGAAATAAAAAATACAATATTTTCAATTGCAAGTTTGTATATGAAGTCAAACGGGCAATTTGTTGGCAATATCGGATTAACAAGGAGCGCTTAATTGATACCAACATTAACGATATTGTTGAGTATTGCTCGTGATCCTGACTAATGTTACTGTCGTTATCTGCGAACTCTAATTATACATCCTATTTAGTCCACCAATATTTACTACATTCCGTTTCACATAAACACACTGAAACGACCGGTAATTCAATTAAAAGAAATTAAATTTTAATTGGCAATATGTTCAGGAGAATGATCCAAAAAACTCGTAAATTTTCCTCTTCTATTTGTATACTATTAACCTCAGATTCGACTGCAATTTCTTTCGCGAAGTTTACGCTGACAATAAATAAATCTTGTCGTTTCGGAAGTCCCCTTCTCGACAACACCGACGCCCGACGAACAATAAACACTAACAAAACCATTGTTAAAAGAGTCTCTAAACAATAAACAAGCATCCTACGGTGTTATTCAGATATGATTTGAATGAGCCCCCGGGGAGCAAGGAGGTTTTTTCTGGCGTCCCGCCGGGAAAAAATTATGCCAGGCAAACATTTACTTAACTCGATATCGAGTTGAAGTGTCCATATTACCTGCGAATATCCCGTTATGATTATTTTCCGCCAGGTCTAGTAATCTAAAAGTCCATTTGGAGAATGAAACGAATTCCGCCGTGTACCTCCTTTCGCAGGAAATAAAGATAAATGACTGCTAATAAAATTCCCGGCGGAAAATTAAATACAACAGCTAACTGCTAGTGTAGCCGGATTTAACAACGGTCGAGCGGGCGCCCTTGCTCGCCCTGATTGATTTATATTGCATCAATATTTCTACCGATGAACCGTGTTATTAGCTCTAAAAGTTCCTTCCACGAAGCGGGTAAAAATCGACGAATTAAACAATCGTTATGCAACAACGGTGATTGTTTAGGCAGCCGCTTTATCCAGTTTTCCAGTTACCCGAACTGCACCTGTTATATCGCTATAAATGATCAAATATTCATAGTCGAATCGACGTTCGTTCGACGGAAATTGCACCGGAGGAAATTGTACCTGCTCGAGTTTTACAAGGGAAAGTGCCATAAAAACTTTTTCGTCCTCGCAGGACCCGCCGGAGCGCGTCGGGTCGAACGGTTGTAGTGTTGCGAAAATTTTTAAGGTGGTTTCCGCATAAAACGTCGGACTAACCTCGAAAGGGATGCTTTGTTTGACTTTTATTGTTCGAAAGTTTTCTCGTTTCGGGTGCTTAGCCTTAATAACATGTGAAAAAATGTCGGCGGTGGAGGCGGTAATGCGTTTATTATGCGGCGAGGAATTAAATTATTCGAAAAGAGGCGGGCCGGTCGATTTAGCGCCGCTTCGGGACGGGATGAACTACATTTGTTTGAATAAGATATCGAAGAAAACTTGCAAATACCCATCGCAGGCGAATAGAGCGAACCGTTATTTATTATAAAGGACAAAATTAACGCAACATCATAAATTTGTCACATTTTTTATGCTATTTTTTGTTTGAATTTATGATCCGATTTGGATGATTTTTTTTTGTATTATAGGTTGGTTCCTTGACAATGTCATCATTTTCGCTATTTATGATAAAATGTTCCTTCTCTATTATACCGGGTGTAATAAAAATGTAATGTTTTTTTCCGAAAATTCGTATCACCCTGTGGAGTATACTAGCAAACGAGACATATAGCAGTTGACATTAGACGGTAGATCGATCTTTTGCCAACATTTTCTTTTTTTGGTTTACTTCATTATCTCTGTTATTAAAGAAGATACGCCGTTTTATAGCGTAATATGTTTTAATAGACTGTATTATTCAAAACATTTATTGTTAAATGTTTTCAAGTAGGCTATGGACCATTTTTGACATTTCAAGCGATGTGTCAATATCGAATACATTATTTGTTATCTGTATAACAAAATAATTCCTGCACGCTTTGATGAATGAAAACAAAATTAACGAATAACTATATTTCATAAAGTGAAATTAAGAGTTTATTAAACCCATTTTTTTGGAAACGAGTGAAACAAGAAAAGAACATAAATCAAAAACAATAAAATTAATGGATTTATAATGCTAATAACGTGTATGTCCACCTCTACTTCGAATCACTGCTCCATTGCAATATGAATCATTGAATAGCCCTCATCCACCAAAGTTAAGGCTCTTACTGCTTCTTCGGTCGATAATTTTTTTGGACGATTCATTTTTCAAGATTAAAGTAACAAATAATGTATTCGATTTTGACACATTGCTTGAAATGTCAAAAATGGTCCATAGCCTACTTGAAAACATTTAACAATAAATGTTTTGAATAATACAGTCTATTAAAACATATTACGCTATAAAACAGCGTATCTACTTTTATAACAGAGATAATGAAGTAAACCAAAAAAGAAAATGTTGGCAAAAGATGAATCTACCGTCTAATGTCAACTGCTATATGTCTCGTTTGCTAGTATACTCCACAGGGTGATACGAATTTTCGGAAAAAAACATTACATTTTTATTACACCCGGTATAATCGAAAAGGAACATTTTATCATAAACAGCGAAAATGATGACATTGTCAAGGAACCAACCTATAATACAAAAAAAAAATCATCCAAATCGGATCATAAATTCAAACAAAAAATAGCATAAAAAATGTGGCAAATTTATGATGTTGCGTTAATTTTGTCCAGGAGTGTATTTGTACAAAACTTGATAAATCGCACGTGCTAGAATTTTACGGTTGTTCTTCATCGTTCGATGTGGACTGCTGTAGCAGCGTTAGATAAGAGTAAGAGGCCTTCAGCATCTGCAAATGCGTAGTAAAATTGCGTGTATATACTCATAAATAAATTGTTTATGTACTCACCGTTACGAATAAATCGTAATTAAAAGTACCCAAAGGCAATGAACTGATTGTCAAAGGCTCGTGCGATCTTGCTATCATGAAAGCTAGGTCTTTTCTCATTTCGTTGCTCGCTTCGTTCCATTTCGAATCGAACACCGCTTCGGATATGGATAAGCTCTGAAACAGCAATGCGAATAAATTCCGTTTTTTTCTTTCTCCGATCCCGATTTATAGGCCTAAGAGCATTTTTATTAATACCTCATCGCATAACCTCTGGCCCGCGTGCGATAACAGAAATATGGACATAATGTATCCGCCCAGATAAATCGCGGCTCCGAACATTTTGTACTAAAAAAACGATTAATAATTCCCAATTTATTATTTCATGTTATTCAGTTACTTTCTGAGTTATTTGGTTTCCTATCATTCCCATTACGATTGCAGCGATTAAAGACATGTGACCTAGCGTGCTTTTAGTGAGTTGATTTAAATCATCGCCCCAACTAAAAATAAAATAAAATTGTATTGCAGCTTTAGGAGTAAAGAAAATTCGACATACTCCAATATTTGATTATGGTATTCGATGCAAAATCTAAGTTGTCCTTTCCTCGAGAGCTCGTCGTCGTCGTCGAAAATCCCTATTATGTTTCTTTTCAGCCAATTTATGTGGCATATGAGAAACTCGGAGGACTCGTAGGAGAGGAAAAACAGGTTTCCGGCTGCCACGCACGCCCAAATGCAGACGAGAAGTTGAAAGGCGAATATAACTTTGATTGTAACAGGCGATATTTCCCCTTCTATGGGCAGCCTAATTTGGGTGAGGGTGCCGCAGAAGTTGTTCTGCTCGTCTTGGTCGCATTTCGTTTCGAAAATCGAGATAACCGCGTATACCTGCGAACGGAGCCCATCTCGTTGTAAACTTATTCAAATTTATTCAGAAGGTGACTTACGCACATCCCGCCGGATATATAGAAGCTGTACATCAAAGAAAGGAGGTTGCATCTATCTTTGACTTTATTAAAATCTCCGGGTCTGCCGTAGTTCTCGAAATCGGTTATCGACTGGCAGAATTCCGCCCATTTCCTCCATTTTATTTTGAAAAAAGTGGCGCATAATAAAAAGCCCAAACCGCCTACCGCTACAGCCAAATCCTCGGTCATTTCCGCGCCTTTATTTCCTGTTTGCATAAAGAACATTCGCTTTAGATGGTAGTTTACGAGAGTCGTTGTTTAGTTTACCTTTGAAAGATACAATTAAATGGCCTATTCCTCCGATATTACAAACCATTAAACCGAAAACGATGGTGCCGACGGTGGCTGCCAGTGAAACGTTCAAATCTGCTGCTGATGATGATCTGGGGTACAAGCCCAATAAACTTAACGATAGCAAAGTTGAGTGGTAAGGTTCATTTTTCGTTATCGGGTAATACATGTTGCCGCGCGATTCTGGATTTATTGTTTTAAAATAATAAAAAATCATCCTATTTATTCGCTCGTTCTTCATGAATTATTGATGTAAATGGTATTTTTAAATTTAGATGTCAGTTTAAATTAAAAAGCTTCGGTCACTCGTGGAGCTTTAAATTATATATTTGGAATATTACGAATGCGTTGCAATTTTTTTTAGTCTTTAATTATGGGAATGGGTTATCAATTGGTAGATTGGAGAGATTATGTAACTAATAGGTTTTCAATTTCAGTATATACAGGGTATAATAATGAAAAAAATCTAATATGAAATTTAAATGAATAAAATAAAGTAGTTTTTCCTTGTTCTAGTAACCTAATATGGACTAATTTAATATTTAATTATTTTTTAATAATCGGAAGAAATTTAAAATTGCAAATTTTATAGTACTAGTATGTAGACAGATGTTCACCCCACCATCAAAAAAAATAAAAAATCCTAGATCATAATTTAGTGCTATTTTAGTGCTAATTTAGTCCCACTTCCTAATTTTAGTGCTCGTCTAGTTGAGCAGAAAATTGCGATTAAAAATGGCGGTGCTAAGTTTATAATGCTAGCACCCCCACATTTAAATATTTAAACAAAATTAAAAAATAATATATCGGAATTTAGTGCTATTTTAGTGCTTTCGAATGCACTACTCAGAATTTCATTTAAGGTATTAATCTTAAAGATACTTGATAAAAACGTATTGGAGTCAATAGAAAAACAGATAAACATAGAAAAAATACATTTCATGTATTTTCAAGATGATCCAGTTTGATCAAGATGATTCAAGATGTTCAAGCCCAAAATAGTACAAGTCTTAGATAATTTTGGAGAAACTAAATAAAACATAAATTTGTAGCGATAACATTTATAAATCAAGCAAAGAAAATTACATGATATTTGACAAAATATTGAGTGAAAATACATTTAATCATCTTTGTTCGAAGTGGATTGTTTCAGCAGCGTTAGATACGAGTAAGAGGCCTTCAGCATCTAAAAAACAACGCAGGTAGTATGCACGAAATGTCTGCTATAATTTTTAAATTTGAAACTCACAGTAACGAACAAAGCGTAATTAAAATTCCCCAACGGCAAGCAACTAATAAATAACGGTATTTGCGATCTTGCTAGCATGAAAGTTAGGTCTTTCCTCATGCCGGTGCTGGCCTTAGTCCAATCGGAATCGAATATCGCCTTCGCTATGGATATGCTCTAAAAAACCGAATAAATTTATTTTATTAATTTAGTTAAAATATTTCTTCAATTAATACCTCGTCACTTAACCTTTGACCCGCGTGCGAGACGAGAAATATAGCCATAATGTACCCTGCGAGATAAATCGCAGCGCCGAACATTTTGTACTAAAATTAGAGTAATTTCAAAGATGCTTTTGATGGTATTTGGCCTACCTTGTGCAATATTTGATTCCCTATCATTCCCACTTGGATAGCCGCTATTAAGGACATATGACCCAACGTGCTTTTTGTAAGTCGATTCAAATCATACCCCCATCTACAAAACACGAAATAGGCAAATAAATTATTAGGTTAAAATAATGACTGTAGCATATACTCGATTATTTGCTTGTGGTATCTGATGCAATGCAAAAGTTGCTCCCTCTTGGACATCTCGTCTTCGTAATTGAAAATTCCAATTATGTGTTTTTTGAGAGCGGTTATGTGGCATATGATAAATTCGGACGATTCGTGCGATAGAAAAAATACGTTTCCCGTTTCAACGCAGGCCCAAATGCACAATGAAAGTTGGCATAAAAAAATTATGTTTATCGCCAGCGTGGAAATTTCGCCTTCGATGGGCAGCCGGATTTGGGTTAAAGTGCCGCAAAAGTTGTTTTGCTCGTCTCTGACGCATTTCGTTTCGAAAATCGAGATGACCGCGTACACCTGTAATAATGGATTAAATCGAGAGAATCGCGTAAAATCGAGTTATACAGGGTGTTTCATTGGGAAAGGACAATATTTTAACCCTGTATAGAGGTCACCCAGGGGACTACAAAAAACCCATATACATATAATTGTAATTTTTATTGGTTTATGTGAATGTTAATTCAAGTTCAATAGGTCTATTTCAAGAATTTTCATGAAAGTGTTAAGTAAATCTGGTTTTATTAAAGAAAAAATAATTAAAGTCCCTTCAATTACAATTTACATGGACCAAAAATCTCATAATGTACATTTTAACGTTTAAATTTTGGTAGAAAAACGGCATGCGGGAAAATAAAAAGTTGATGAATACATTCAGTTTTTTATGCTCTTTCTGAATTTGAAATTAAAATTTTAAAAATATGATGTATAGGGTGTTGTTTTAGAGTCGGTCAAATTTTATTAATTTTTCTAAATCCGGACCTGGATTTTGTAATTTTTTAATGTGGCAATAAATTGTCCTAAATGTATAGAATATCTATGCCAAATATCAAAAAAATATACTGAGTGATTCAAAAGTTATAGGTGTCGAAAGAAATGGGCCAAATTCAAAAAACATCCTGTAACTCGGTTATAAAGGGCGCAAGACCCATAGTATATGGGTTTTTTGTAATCCCCTGGGTGACCTCTATACAGGGTTAAAATATTGCCCTTTCCCAATGAAACACCCTTAGTTTTAATGCTACTTACGCACATGCCGCCCGAAATGTAGATGCTGTACATCATCGAAAGGAAGTTGCATCTGATGGTGACTGCGTCGAAATCTTCGGGTTTTCCGTACGTTTTGAAATCGGTGATGGAATGAAAAAATTTGGCCCAGTTTCGCCAATTTAATTTGAAGAAAAGGGCGCAAAGTAAGAACGCCATACCGCCCACTGTCACCGCCAAATCCTCGCTCATTTCGACACTCTTACTTCCTGATAGCATAAAGGATTTCAAATCGCTTCGATTTTATCAAATTGTTCGTTCGATTTACCTTTGAAAGAGGCGATTAAATGGCCCATACCTCCTACGCAAATTACCACAACAGCGAAAATTATGGTGCAAACCGTGGTCACCATCGACGCCTTCAAGCTCGCCTCGCTCGACGATTTCGGGTAGACCCCTAAAAATTTCAAAGACAGTAACGTTGAATAATAGGGTTTACCCTTTTCTATTGGGTAATGCATGATGCGCGCTTTACGAATTATCGTCGTATAAAAAAATCATTCGATTCGCCTCGTCGATTTATGAAATTTTAATGCAACTGGATACCGATTTGAATCGTAATTTAAAATTATAATTAAAAGCCGCAGATACTGGAGGAACGTAGAATTATGCGATTACGAAACTTTTCAATCAAAGGGCGATTCAATATATTTAAAAAAAAATACTTTAGTTTATTGAGTAGCGTTATTGAAGTCGAGTTACTGATTAATAAGTAAATTTGTTGAATTTGCTTTAGGTTTGAGTTTGCGAGTTAAAAATTCATTTGATCTACCGGTTTGCCATATTCCCCCGTATACGACATGGTCGAATTTGTAAAGGCAATTATTTAAAACGAGCCTAGTATAAGAACCTCGAGCGTCGCCTACGAACCGAAAAAGGCCCGAAACGAGCCCCAAATCGTACGTAAATCCACCCCTTTCAGAAATCCAACGTTTCCCGATCCGAGGCAATTCTTCTCGAATTACCAGTTGTTTACCGTTTTGCCACAATAAACACACCCTTTCGCGAGCCAGGTTTTACGTTTTATTTCTTCGCTTTTCCGGCTTTTCCGCTTCGCTCGCCGCCCTTCCCTCCTCGCCGCCCCCGTTTATACACATCTGCATAATTTATTGCCCGGTTCGGGTTCGTTACAGGTCGAGTCACTCTGCGTTACAGTCATTAATTATCCACTTAAAGATGCTACCAAATCGCGGAAACGACGAAATTGTACTGCTAGATGAGCGACGGAATCTCGCCATCGTTCGGGATCGAGAAAATGAGCGCGATTTTTTTGATAATTAACTCCCTTGGTTTCACGAATTACTCTCTTAGGTAGATAAATACGCTTTTTGCCGGGTAGATCGATGGATATTTGACTCTTTTCGGTGCTTAGGATTTTCTTATGAGTTGAAAAATGGCTCCATTAGTTGGGTAATTCGCTCACATTAGTGTATAAATCACTAACCTAACTAGATAAATTTTATTTTAGGTAGGTAATTGATTTTCCTGTGGGATGTATTAATAAGCTCCGTAAGAACGATAATTGACTCTTTTGGGTAGATAAATGGCTCCTCTGATAGATGATAATTGACTCTTGGGTTGATAAATGGGTGCTTTGTTAGATAATTGACTCTTTTGGGTAGATAAATGGCTCCTCTGATAGATGATAATTGACTCTTGGGTTGATAAATGGGTGCTTTGTTAGATAATTGACTCTTTTGGGTAGATAAATGGCTCCTCTGATAGATGATAATTGACTCTTGGGTTGATAAATGGGTGCTTTGTTAGATAATTGACTCTTTTGGAAAGTACTTAAATCTATCGATAAGATAATTGACTCTCTTGGATGACTAAATCATATTGTTAAGATTGAACTCTTGAAGAAGATTGACTCCTTTACTCACTTCACTTTAATTAAGTTGTTTGATTCTTTTGAGCGGTTTCTTTTGGGCGAACAAACGTCTCATTTACATCGTACATATTCTCATACAATTTGTGTTTGTGTGTACAATTTCTTGATGGCGGGCGGCCGAAATTCGCAAGATAATTAAAACACCTCGCAGGAGTCGAGCGATTGTTGTTTTAGGTTGAAAACTTCCACGTTGAATTCGCGGTTTCGTTGTTGATCTTGCGTTAACGTTTTCGTTTTGACGATGCCACAGCGTCGTTTTTTTTTTCTCTCGTTTGAATAGAATTGATATTTTCCAGCGGATTAACCGAACCGTTCGCTCGCTTTGTCGCAATTAAATTTGATATACAATTCCTTACAAACAGCGGAGGATAAAGAGGGTTGTGGATATTTCTTATTTGGGGGTACATTGATATGAGAAAAAATGGAGATGCTAGAAAGTGGTATTGCTCAGAGATCGAGTGGATTTCTGGCGATTTTCCTCGGTGATCGACGTTTAGAATGATGAACGCCGATATACAGGGTGTTTCACAACTTATCCGACAAATTTTAACCACATATGCACTGTTACGAGAGAAGTTAATTTCCCAAAAAAATGTAATAAAAGTCTTACAGAAATCGAGATAATAAAATAATAGTTTAACAGTTCAATTACTTATACAAGATGTTCAAAATTGTTCCCATTTACTGCAATGCAAGCTTGGGTGCTTGTTTTTTTTTGTTTTAACCATTGTTTTGGTGCAACATTTGCTACAGTAAAGTATTAAGGCAAAATTATCAACGCAAAATGCGGTATTTATTGTTCAATTTTTTATTGAAACTACTCGGGTTTATAATTTTATTTCTGTAGGACTTTTATTACAGTTTTTTTTGAGATTTCTCAAAGAGAGAGAAGTTGATTTCTCAAAAAAATGTAACAAAAGTCCTACAGAAATAAAATTATAAACCCGAGTTTCAATAAAAAATTGAAAAATAAATACTGCATTTTGCGTTCATAATTTTGCCTTAATACTTTACTCTAGCAAATGTTGCACCAAAATAATGATTAAAACAAAAAAAAACAAACACCCAAGCTTGCATTGCGGTAAATGGGAACAATTTTGAACATCTTGTATAAGTAATTGAACTGTTAAACTATTATTTTATTATCTCGATTTCTGCAAGACTTTTATTACATTTTTTTTGGGAAATTAACTTGATTCATAACAGTGCCTACGTGGTTAGAATTTGTCGGATAAGTTGTGAAACACCCTGTACAATAGACATCGATAGAATTCATCCTGCAATAGGAAGTCGCGGAGCTCGGTTAAACACGAGTAGCTACTTGGAAGTTTTCTCCGAAGCCCTGCTCTAAAGCCCTTTGAGCGGGTCGCGGCGCTCTGTCAACGGTCGCGCGCTGATCGGAGAACAATATATCATCGAATGCTCGGAAACAATTCTAAACAATTCGACTGGCGGATGAACGAAAGCCGTGCGAAATGACTGATTGTTATTGCCGTTCGCGCTCGAAGGAATGCTAATAAAACGCGCTGTTTAATTGTTGTCCCGGCTCGTTCGGTTTCGGTTATGGCTGTTTCGACTTCCGACTAGTTTGCGAACGGTAGCCGAAAAACTGCAAACTTGATTATTAATCTGCCATGAATTGAAGGCGACTTGTAAAGCGCCGGTTTTATTAATAGCCCCGGTTAATTAAACCGTTTACATTGTTGATTTATAACGCGCTATAAGTACATTACTTAAATACGCGTGTTTATACACACCGGTTATTTTCGATGTGCACAAAAGAGAGCGCTGAAAAAACGTCTGGTTAAATTTTAATGGACGTAAATGGACGGATTTTTCGTACGGGGAGAAATAAATAATTTCGCGTTGAATTGATAGAATATCATCGAAACTGTCGGTTTTCCTGCAACACGTCCAGCGTGGTGAAAAAATGATTTTTTCGACGGGTTTGACATCACGCGTTTCGTTCGATGAGCACGTAATGGATGTAAAAATTAAAAACATTCTAGTTAAAATTATTATGCTTGCATTTCGTGATTTATTCGTGTGTGATGGCTGGCAGTTTACTATTAAAAATCAATCATATTCTACTTAATTTAATAAAATAATTTAGAATCAATTATGCAACAAAAAAAACTATTAAATTCCAGTATAAAAAACAGTGTGACCAACACGATTTTTGACAAAAAAAGTATTTTTTGTAGTTACTGAATATCTTAGATCATATACTAACGTGGATATGTCGACAGCGGTAAACTCTGTTGCCAATTTTATGACCCGTCCTTGTTTGACACTCGCTAGTTTCTAACGGTGTGTCTTTGTCTTGGAGCCTTTGACAATTTTGACGTGTATAATTAGTGCCAAATTTAAATATTCATGTTTTAAAACTATTTTAAGATGCTTGTTGTTTATCTCAGTGTTATGTATAAACCGCTAACACTAAACACAAACCAATTCAATAATCAAAAATCCAAATATAACAATAATACGACGCCATGACAGTTATGAAGCAGATGTCAAATGTCATAGTGTCAATGCCAGTGCGAGAAAAGGACGCATCAACATTGCCAAATCTTTAATAGCTATTTCTTATTTCTACTTTTCTTTTACTACAAATAAGTAATCGAGCAGCTGTTTTGTACAATAATTAGTTAATTAAAATTTATACGCATTTAAATAGTATTACTGTATTTCAAAACAATTATTTTAGATAGTAAATAAAAATATTTTTATCGTACATCGTACATATTAAAAGAGTAAAAAATTACAACAAATGTGTGAACCTGGCAACAAAGGGGAGTTTCCTAATGTATCTGTTGTATACTAATAAATACGTTCAGATTTTTAAAGCGCATGCTCAATTGGCAGACCAAAACAAAGATAAATCTATGCTGAATTCCATAGAGCAACAAAAGAGAGTATACAATTTAGGCATGTTGTAGATGTTGGCAACAGGAACGTAAATGTAATTCTTATGGCATTGATGCATCCACGTGAGTATATATGATCTATGCTGAATATAATATAAAAACTGTTGAAATTCTGGGATCGATCGTGGGCGAAATCTGTGTAAATTCATTCGATGCTTTGTTGTAATATCGCGAAGCCCGAGATGGCCGGTTTTTGCGAGTCTGGCCCAAAAACGGGACGAGACGAGACGACGAAAATATATTAAATTTCGTCCGATTTTCCTTGCAACCTATTAACTTAAGCTTTTAATTTATGACCACCCTTTATGAAGGCCAATAGCACTTTTTCGCCGGGGAAATTTTTAATATCTCGCCTTTTATAATTTTCGCCGTGCCAAAGGAGATTTCCCTTTAATGAAAGCAACTGTGCCTTCCTCCGGATTAAATTCTAATTAGGTGGGGCAGAAAAAAAACTTTTAATTATGTGTTTTCGTGTTTTCTTTTTTGGCTTCTTACGCGAATAATGGCGATTGAAGGTGTGTGTAAGTACCGATGAATTTAATTTGGCTGTTCATAATAGAAATTAACACATTACTCAAACACTCCATTAATTAACCAGGTATATTTTTATCGGTTTGTTTTCATTAGTAATTAAATTACTAAATTATAATTAAATGTTTTACATTCTTTAAAATACCTACAACAATGTATATTCAATTAATTAACCGTTTTCATTATGTAGATATATGGGTCGATTCTGAGATTTTACCTATAAGCTACAGAATCTGTAAGAAATAGTGCCTGTAACTTGAAACTTTACAGATTTGTAAAATTTGCTATTCTGGAACCAAATCTGTAAAAGTCAAGTTACAGATCTTTACCTTATAGGTTTCAACTTCACTCATGTTTATAATGTCAAAATTATAACCTCAAAACAATTAAAAGCTGTGTCTGCTGTGTACCTATCATAGAGCTAATAAACCGGTAATATAATATATAATAAAAGAATGGCGTAAGTAAACTACTGAAACAATATAATATGTATATGTATAAAGTATAACGTATGTTTTTATGTAGAGCACAAGGTGTTAAGAGGAAAAGAACAAAAAATACGTCTCCAGATCAATTAGAGTTATATTTAAATTTTATGGAAAATGATTACATTTTTCGTAGCAATACCATAAATCCTACAGTAGATCCCAATTATTTAACGAAAAAGTGGGAAGAACTTGCAGGGCAATTGAATGCGCTTGGAAATGGCCCCTCTCTTTCTGTTGAAGAGTGGAAGAAGGTAAGCAAATATTTATGTTTATTACTTTGCTGTTTTCACCCCTTATATTTTTTAGAGATTTTTGGATTGGAAGTATGCCACAAAATCAAAATATAGAAAAATAAAAACCCTTTCAATAGGGACAGGTGGAGGACCTCAAAGCACCATTTCTCTAAATGATTTGGAAGAGAGAGGCCTTTCAGTTTGGGGAAAGGTCGCGGTAGCGGGAGCAAGTCATGTTACGACTTATGAAGGGCTTGAAATACCAGATTTACAACCGAACCCTGAACCGAACGTTCAACCACACAAAACTTGTGAACCTAGTGCGAGTACGAGTCAGAGTCAAGGAAACAAAAGTTTTGAAGTAATTTATTTGGAGCACATTAACGAAGAAGACAAAGAAAATATAACAACCACACAAAAACCTGAGAGGAATATAAAAAGAAAAAAAACCAAACCTTTAAGTATTTTATCGGAAAATTTAATCGAAAATAGTAAAAATCTCACGGAAACTAATGAGAAATTAGTAAAAATTCTTGAAAATTATTCAAAAAATAATATAGAATTAAAAAAAACAAAATTGAATTGCAAAAACAAAATTTGCAATTTGAGGTAGAAAAATTTAAATTTCTACATCCGCAATTTGATTTTAATTTAGAATAAGGTTTTTTTAAACAAAGTTTTTAATATTATTAGCGTTTTATTTATATTAGTTTTAAAGTTTGTTGTGTTATTTTTAAGAATGTTTTATTTATGTTTGTTTTATTTATGAGTGATATTTATGATTTTTGTGTTTATTTTTTTGTGATTAAAAGACTGATATGTTTGATTTTTTATTTATTGGTTCATATTTTCTCTAATGTAATTTGCCCGTTCATTTCTTCCAAGATCCAATAATTGACCAGCACCTACTATTGCATCTTCTTGTGGAAAATTATCTGTAAAAAATTAATAGTTTATATAACGGTTAATCGATAATATTTTGTACTTACCATTAACTTCATCATATTCTATTTCATTTTCTGGAAGATCTAAATTTGCTTCAATTGCAATATTATGTAGAACACAACATGTGTAAATTATATTTGCTGCCTTAATTGGATGGTATATTAGAGTTCGATGTCTAGATAGACATCGAAATCTGCCCTTTAAAATACCATTTGTTCGTTCAATAACGTTTCTAGTAGATGTCAATAAATTATTAAATAGTTCCTCTGATTCAATCTGAGGATTTATGAAGGGAGTAAAGAGCCAAGGTTCTAAGGGATATCCACTATCTCCTAAAACCATAATGTTAGAGAAATATTTCATATAAATTATTTAAATACACACTGACCTATTAATCGTGTTGAATTGTCTCCTCGTTCATAATTTCTCATTAAATGGGCTCTTATGGTACTAGTATTCCAAATTGCAGCATCATGGGTTGAGCCAGGATATCTGGCTGAACAAGCTAAGATCTTACAATTTGAATCTGATATCTATAATAAAAATATATTGATGATGTCATCGATATGTCAACTATATCTATATGAATCTACTTACTAGCATTGTGTTTATTGAATGTTTTCCCTTTCTGTTAATATACACAAAAGGTGGATGTTCATTATCATTCATAGGTGTAGCTAAAATTTCAACATGAGTGCCATCAATAGCACCTATAACACCTCTAAAATTAAATTTTTCATAGAATCTAAAAAGAAATGAAACCATTGAGTAATTTTTTTAATTAAAAAGAACCATATGCATTACCCTCGTTTTATTCTATTTTTTTCATCCTCATTATTTGGAAATTTTATCCACACCCTCATCAGTTCTTGAACAATCAACTCACATATATGTGAAATAGCTCTGCTTATAGAAGATTGGCTTAGTGATATCCAAGCATTACAACCTACTACATTTTGATATGACCCAGTTGCCAAAAAATTTAAAGTGGCGAACATCTTAAAAATTATATTAATTATTAAAACATTATTTAGCTTATGACATTATATGATCTTACCTTTACTTCAAATGGAATTCCCATATTTCTTACCCTGGCATTAGGTCTTAAAGAATTTATTAAATAATTCACACTGTCTTTGTCTAGACGAAAGATTTGTTTAAAATGTCTGTCTGTGAGGTCAAATGGATTTAATTCATCCCTCAGACGCCTTCTTTCAATTCTCATATAATTTCTGAAAAAGTAATTTGTATTAATTACGTATTAATTCATTACGTAATATTTTGTAATTAATTATTAATTAAGTAAAATAATCAGTATTTATTTCAGTAGATACCTACTACTTAAAACTACAAAAATCTCACCTGTTTTCATATTCCTCCAAAAGAACACCCGCAAATAAATTAATTTGCAGGTTATTCATAGTAAACAACAGGCTTTCGCTTTAACTTTAAACACTCGTAAGGTTCACACAATAAAACACGAGGAATAATGCTTTTAATGCTCTCTACCAGACTCTGTATCGCTTACAGTGACGGATGTCTAGCCTGTAAATATTTACGAATCTATAAGCGAATCTGTAAGTAACAGATGAGGATAGAATTGCATTTCCTGTAACTCTTACAGATTTCGGCTTATAGGTCTTACAGATGTTCTCAGAATCGACCCAATAATTAATTAAATATGCTACCATCCCCAGTTTCTTGTTAGTACATCACAATGTTTGACTATACAGCATTAAATCTATAGACTTTACAGGTTATTATCGAATTATGTGCAGAGCTCGTCATACCATTAATTATATGCATTCATTATCCCCGCCTACTACTGGAATTCTCGGCAATTATTGCCATTGAGCAATTACTGCACTATTAGATAATTAATTTCTTAAGAAGAATTAATTCCGCTATTTCTATTTCCGTTTTTTGTTGCGATATCTTTGCGAATAAAAATTCCGCGTTGGTATATTGGCAACTAATACCTAATTCTAAAGTAATAAGACATCGAATGTGTTTTTAAAAGAAAATCCAATAAATATGAAAATCCCGTTGGTGAACTTCAAAGACATTACAACTAGTTATTTATTGAGGTAGTATATAAGTTTATTTTACTTGGAATTTTAAAGTATATCTCATTTTTAGATAAACTGGAATAATACGCAATGCTCTTTCGGAATGAATAATTTAATTAATAAATTAGCCGACGTTTCTGTGGTGTACAAAGGTAAATCCCAACTTCGGAATGTTCACGTGAAAAATGCCCGGCTATTTCCGAACAGAGGAGTTTCGTCAAAAATGGCTAATACCGGCGGAGCCGAAGTTGCACTTAGTTCGCGAACAATAACAATAATTCAGAAGCGCCGTCGTCAAAACGTTCATTTAACTCCGGAGTTAAAGCTTCACTTTATGCGAAAGTAAGCTCGCCTGTTATTATTTTAATGTACCGTGCATTATTTCAGGTGATACAGCTGTCATAAAGGCTAAAGTAATCTCTGAAAACCATCCAGTTGAACGTTTCGCAACTTTAAAACGGCACAACACTTTATTACAACTTTGGTAAATATATACAGTCGATTGGAATTTTTAGGAAATATGGTGAAAAAAACACTTTATATTCCGGATTACCCAAAAAAAGCTTATTTTTCTTAACGAAACTTTACTACATAAGATTATTACTTTCGCCTTTTCCATTTTATGTTTTGCAAAAAAATTGCTGACATCTCTCAAGCGTCATGTTAATTTCGCATCGTCAATTTCGCAAGAATGAAAAAAAAAAGTTAATTAGTTATTTAATTACAACGCGACAGTATGGAAATATTTCGAGAGTTGAACGTTGGAATTAAAATTAAATTTCATTGTTCTAATCTACTGCACCTACACAGATAGCTCATTGTCCGGGATCAGTTATTAAAGCGCAAGAAGGGCGCTTTTGATGAAAACATTTTTTACTAAAAATGCATGCCCGATTTCAATTCGCAAGTAAAAGATAGGGGCGCAAAACGAATAAGAGTAAAAGGGATGATCTGTATTCACCATCATTGGCGTAACACTAGATCTATATAATTTTCTTTTATCACAAATTAATTTATTTGTTATTATTTAACAAAATATTTAGGAATTATTGATAGGATACATCAGTACCTACTTACACTTTGATTGGAATAGCTGGAGACGCAAGAAAAATTACACAAACTGTTCATGTAAATAGAAATTATAACACTGTATTTAATTCCAAGTAATTGCAATTACCTAAAATTAACTGGTTTAGAATTCTGCTGGGAACTTTCGAAATGTGAGTATAATCTCCGTCGGCGACTCTGGTCAAGATTCGCCCGAAAGGTGTAGTGGAACTCCAGAATCGTTTATGCGGATATAACTTAACCGCCGCTTTCATAAAGCTGGAGCAGCCGCTATAAATATCTCTTTATAGCTGCACAACTTCCGAAAACTTGAAGGCATCTCATTCTTGTGGCCGTATACTAGAGATATAACTAGTAGGAATTTCTACAACTAAAAATTATGTATGTTAGGGGCACGGTGGACCGTAAAGACCGTTGAAAAATGCGGACGCTTCTGGTCGGAATTTTATAACAGCCGATGAATGTCGGATGATATTTCATATGCGCTGCTGCAGCTTCGACGGGAACGTTTTATCTATTTATTTTTTTTGTTCCAGGAGGTATAGACTTGTCGAGTCGACACTGGTGGTTGATCGGTACCGTATTACTTCTAGCTGCAGCTGCAGGAGTAGGCGTTCCGATAGCCTTAAAGATTAGCTCAAGTGCCTCCTTCGAAGAACGTCTCGAATTCGCAACTAGGTACGAAAAACTATCATCGAATATAAATCCTTCGTTACTCCAGCGCAATTCGTTTCCAGGTTACTTCAAGAAGTGCCTCTTATAGACGGACATAACGACCTACCGTGGAACATTAGGAAATTCCTGCACAACAAACTGAAGAATTTCAAATTTAACGAAGACCTGCGCAGCGTCTCGCCTTGGTCGACGAGCGCTTGGAGCCACACAGACCTGATGAGGCTCGAACAAGGCCACGTAGCAGCCCAAGTAAGTGCAACATTCACTAATTATTTCCTCCATTTGAACTACGAGATTTACTGCGAGATTCTACACGCTTTAAAATCCATCTGTTGGCGCTACAAAGGAGTTTTTATGACATCAATCCTTGGTGGAATGGATATCACATTGCTGGTGATTGAGCAATCCTCGGTTACTAAATTCCTTGGTATCGGTAGATTTTTCCGGGTTATCCATAGACCTATTAACTATGGACGCGGTTTAGACAAAGAGGTAGTGTTGTCGATGTCGACAATGCATTAGCCAATAGTAAGAAAGCAAAAGACCACGTGAGTTACGTTTTCAGATATGCAAGGTAGCTGGGGTAGAGGAGGGCAGCTTATGGTAGAATAGGGTTGAGGAGTGCAGCGGAGGGTATTGTGATTTATTATTTTTTTGTCGAGCAAAATGCATTTTTCTGCTGAGCCTAAATTCCCACGCATTTGCAAATACAGTTCATATTTGGTATTGTTAATTGGAACATCCTACCTATTAGCCAGTACAGATTTCGCAACTTAAGACCTAACTGTGCTTTCTCTTGTAAAAAATATGTTTCTTCCTGGTCATTCTTCTGTCCAAGTGGATACCAAGATAAAAACAATATTTAAATATTAAGCGTATAAATAATTTAACAGATTAATAGCCTTTTTTCACGCACCCTGTATATATTTTATATTTTTTTTTGGTCCCGCCTACTTTTAGCCCAAACTAGCTCCATCTCTCAAGGACCTCTTTCTCTATCATTGGGAACGCTGAATAACCTCAAAATAACGATAGTGCTGCGTCCATACTTAATAGGTCTATGTTTCCTCCATTTGAACTACGAGATTTACTGCTACATTCTACACGCTTTAAAATCCATCTGTTGGCGCTACAAAGGAGTTTTTATGACAGTGATCAATCCTTGGTGGAATGGAAATCACATTGCTGGTGATTGAGCAATCCTCGGTTACTAAATTCCTTGGTATCGGTAGATTTTTCCGGGTTATCCTAATATGCATGCCGATAATGGAAACCGTCTTCGAGCAATAGATCCGACTTATGATGCTCGCTGGTGAATCGAGCTTGTCAGCGACGGTCTGATATTAATGGGGGACGCGAGCGTGGGGTGACTGCAATTCCGACATGTCAAGGGCGAGACGCGTCACCGTCAGGCCCATCTCGATCGGAAATCCGGAGAGTTGCTCCGGATCCATTTTTTTTTCTTCGGCTTTCGATGCAGTGGGTAATTACAACTCGGAAGTTTATTGTCATAATGCAGGGGGAGAAGTGAGGTATTTTTCGACGTTTACCGTATATGAAATAGGATCCATTAAGAAATTCCTCTCTTGAGCGACGTTGCATAACCTAGTTTTCGAGTGTTGTACTTACGTTATATCGGAAACTAACGAGAACGTGTCGAAAGCCGAATTCGCTGGGGCTGCTCGAAAACTTCGATTGTCGGGACTCGTTAGAGATGAATTATCCGGATTTTTTTGATGAGAGAAATAGGGAAAAAAATAGCGCGACGTTTCCGAGTTTACGGTTGGAGATAAGAGCCACAATAACAGTAACTAAAAAGCATAAAGGTCATCGTAAATATTTAGGAGAGAAAACCGAACGGACAGGTAAACCCGAACAAATCCAATAAATAAGAGCCGAGTGGGCTTCCCCTAACTTTTTCGAACAACAAAATTTATAGGTTAAGTTGTTTAGGCTCTTGGTAACGGTCAATAAAGTCGGTTAATGTCCCTGTGATAATTGAAGTTTATTCAGGCCTTCGTTGCCTTTTTCCTACCTATTAGAGAACGTTTTGCCGGAATTATGAGCCATTTTATGTTGACTGCCGGTATGGGAAAAGAATGAAGGCGCTCGCTATTTTTTTGAGAACCTGATAAATTGGATTAGACTCTCGAGGAATCGGAAAAACTCGAACGGAACGATTCTCGCAAGCGGTCGAACAAAAAAAAAACTTCAATTTCACTTATTAATTTAGCGAGACTGAAACTCGCTTTCTCAATAGCAAATAACTCGCCACCTCTTCGAGTTTCCTCGGCTGCTAATATAATTAATATTAAAGGTAACTTGCCGGCTGAAAATTCGAGGCACTTCCCGGCTCTCTCGCTATTTCTGTTGATTTCCGAACCGAATTTAACTTGTTGTTTACCCACTCGAGATGGATAGATTAATGATGATACGTCTGGCGAGGAACTGATGTTTATACAGTAAACTGATTTTAATGTATATATGTTTATGGGGAAAATGTGCGGAGAATTGAAGTGCGCCGCTTTCCCTATTTAACCTACTCCCCGTTAATTAGCTTTTAAAGGGAAATTTATGTAATGGATTTTCCGAATTTCGACACTCGCCTCTTTCTTTTCGTCGCCGACTTTATCCACAGGATTATATTTTACAATACTTAACTTACAGATAAATTCCATTATCCAAAGATGTATTGTGTTGTATAGAGTATACTGTATAGGTTTTGGAAAATATTTTGGTGCCTACTGCTGTGTACATTAATTAAAAACTTCTTCCGCGCCGGAAAATCGCAGGGGCCCGAAAACCGGTAGGTGTTCAACGAACTTTAAACGACCCCTCCCTAAGCGATTTTACTCCTTTTAACCCTTTCGGGGCATAAGGAAGCTCTTGGGCGTCTTCTTAATTGTCAAATATACACAGTTTAATGAGGTAAAGATGGTGGCAACTCGCTCAGAACGTTGCGTAATTAGACAATAACGATGAAAATTTCCATTCAATATGGAGTACGGAACAACAGATTCTGAAATTATGTACTTAATCTGGGGGTACTTATGGTGTTTTATATCGGGAATATGCTGTGTATAATGAACGAAATTGTTTTCGTGTAGATTTAATGCGAATAAGTAGATGTACAGGGTGGCACATAGGTGAGTCCAATTAAAGAATATTAAAATATCTCGAAAAATATCAAATTTAGGTAAAGGGAATAAGGTTTATTAGGTATAGACAATTTTTACCAGATAGTGTTTAATAGACATTTCTTAATTCTTTCATTAATGTGAACTTCGGTCATTATAAAAAAAAAGAAAGAGAAAGAAAGCTTAATTTTTAATTGGAATATCTCGAAAAGTGTTAACTTTAGGTATAGGGAATGGTTATTAGGAATGAAAGTACTGATGCAAAAATATATCCTGTTAACGATATAAAATATAGGGTGATCCATTTAAATTAACAGAGAAAATGTTACTTTTGCGTTTGGATCCACCCTGTAAGCAGTATGATTAAAATTAACAAAAAATATTCATTTTGTACATTTTCAGGATATTTGCAATATTGTGAAACCTGAAATTTATTTTCAATACAATCCATTTAGTTTCTACAGAGTTCTAAACTTAGTACGATTTTCGTGGAAAAGTGGTCATAACTTTTAAATCACTCAGTATAACGTTAAACAAAATTATATTTTTGGAAAGCTGGTAAACGAGCTTAATTCAATTTTTGAATAAAAAACAGGGTGTTCCATTTAAAAAAGTATAAGTTTGGTCTACCACGGCAAAACGGGACACTCTGTATAAATATAACCAATTTTAAAATATGCAGCATAAAAAGATCTACAAATACTAAACAAAAAATGAACAAAAAATATTCATTTTGTACATTTTCAGGATATTTGCAATATTGTGAAACCTGAAATTTATTTTCAATACAATCCATTTAGTTTCTACAGAGTTCTAAACTTAGTACGATTTTCGTGGAAAAGTGGTCATAACTTTTAAATCACTCAGTATAACGTTAAACAAAATTATATTTTTGGAAAGCTGTAAACGAGCTTAATTCAATTTTTAAATAAAAAACAGGGTGTTCCATTTAAAAAAGTATAAGTTTGATATATTACGGAAAAACGGGACACTCTGTATAAATATAACTAATTTTAAAATATGCAGCTTAAAAAGATCTACAACTTTTGTAATGAAGTTTTTTTGATATCTTCTATAATAACAGATATATTGAGCTTTTCCATACTAATGTGCCACCCTGTATAATGGGAGTTTAGGAGTGTTTTTTGGGGTGTAACCAGCCGAAAATACGGCGCAAAACGACAGCGAAATCAATTCGTATTTATCGAAGATAAGCTTTTTATTCATCCGAATGGTAACCTATCGCCCTGAAAAGGTTAAACGCTATTGGAAAATGGGGGGTCCAGCGAGTGGGCCGCAGATGTTCGACGTTCGAAATCGAAGCGGAAATGGCAGGAAAAGCAGGTAGATCGGACGCAAAAATGCGGATCCGGCTTACGCCCTAACCAAAGACGTGCGAACGACCGAAGCGGAATCGGAAAAGCGGCGTTTTCCGCCCGGGAAAGTTTAGAGTATCGCGAAAGTTTCGCGCGTTACGCGCCCCCTCGTTTTTTTTTAATGGAACCCGACTAAAAAATGCACCCGTAAGAGCGAAGTTGGAATTTTCCGGGACGCACTTCACTGATCGACTGATGCTTTCAGGGTTTCCACTTCCCACTCTCTCGCTTAATATTTCCCAGTTTGCGAACAAGATAAGAAGCGAACAGGTGTTTTGTGTACAGACTCGTCTTGTTATACTCCCGTTTGAATAATTGAAAATTTCGTTTACGAACGACTCAATCCCCTTTCCGAATGATTTAAACGTTGAATAATTATTCGTCATAGACCAGCCTGCATTCCGAAACAGAGAAACTCGCGAAAATCGTGGAAAGAAAACCCCAAAACATTGAAAAGTTAGCACAAAACCGGCTCTTCTTGTTCTCTTATAAATCGATGTAGGAATGGTTAATTAATGAGCTTTTTAGAAACTGATTCGTTCGGAATAAGTCGCTTAGTATATACTTTGTAAATATCCATTATACAGGGTGGTATGTATATAGATATGGAAAACCTCAATATATTTGTAACTGTGAGTAGTTCTTTGCAGGATAATTTAAAAAATCGTAGTAGTAGATAAGCAGTAAAAAAGTAGGCGTAAAAATTAAGCAAAATTAAGCAGAATGAAGTAGAATG